AAAAAAGGCCTAAAGCTTACGGATGTTACAATGTGTGACAAATGCTAGGGTTTTGATGTTGTGGTGTGTCCTGAGAACTTTGTGTAACTGATGTTAAACCAGAGCCAGATAATCAATGACATAATAGATATAGTCTACATTTGCTTATACCATGTAACTAGTGCTTTGGCAGTGGTCATGTGACCCAGAAACCACTTTACCTTTTCATTAAATACATTTTAGAGTATAGTCTAAATATTTGTTGAATGGTGTCTTCTTTTTACAAATACTTCTGGTGAGTAAAACAAATATTTTTTTGTTAGAATGCTGTTGTTCAGTATTTGCTCACTAATAATATGATACAAAAGGTCTAAGAGGTGAGCAAAACCTATAACTAAAACTCACCAGCATTACAGCGGCTGTGCATTCTGTTGGCAGAAGAGAAATCTTCCAGCATGGTGGCTTTATTATACAGCTGCCATATCTGTTCTTTTACATGTGGGGATCGCTGTACTCCTGGCCTGCTCGATGTAAGTGCTTCAGGTCTCATGGAACCCAGCGCTATGGTCACATCTCTAACACGTTTCCTGTAGGCCATTCACAAAACTGAGCCAGGGACTGTATGTTTTGTAAATGGCCTGGAAAGGGGGAATGCGTATTAGCACTGGGGTCTATGAGACCTGCAGAACTTACACCTGAGCTGGCATGGAGGTGCAACAGCAGCTGTACCTCCCCTTGCATGTAAAAGAACAGAATTAACTCACCAAATAGTTACTTTATGCTAGAAGGTAACTGCTGTTTTGGATACAGGAAAAACAAAATAGTAAACAAAAAGAATGCGCAAGACCTTTGACCATACAAATCACAATGACAATAAACAATAAAGTGATAAAAAAGAGCAGAATTGACAGCTGTAGAATAATGCCAGTATGACCAGAGATTTCTGCCAACAGATGTATAAATGTCCTAGATTGTAAGCTTCAAGGAGCAGGGCCCTCAAACCCCTAGTGTATATCATTGTATTATTATTGTACTGTCTCATGTATTGTCTCCCATTGTAATGTACAGCGCTGAGCGAACTGTTGGCGCTTTATAAATACTGTATAATAATAATAAATTCTGTAATACTGGTGATTTTTGTGCATTAAGTTTTTAAGATGGAGGTTTTAAGATTATGCATCTTAAAAATATAAACTCAGCATACTGTTCTGCTGATAAATGGTTTGCAATTCTGTGCTGCAAGTCTTATGATTTAAAGATTTTCCATGTTACACATCCAGACAGATGAGAAACCTAAAAAATAAGTTCATCTTTGGGAACATGTTACATGTTGCACCTGTTTTTAGGGTGAAAAGTAACATGTTGCTAATGCTGCAGCCGCTGCTCAATTCCCCCCTCCCTCTCTGAGACAGAAGTACAGGGAGAAGTTCCCTGTACTAGCTGTCACTTTTTAAAAACAGCGCAGTCATGCGAGGCACCGTCCTTGTGGCCGTGTCATTCATTCACAGTGTTCTGTGAATGAATGAACTACAAGTCCCGACTGCCTTGCCGGCTTGTAGTTCTCAATGAACTACCACGGTGCTGTGGAGTACCGTGGTAGTTCATTCAATATTCCTGTCAGTATATCTGTTCACATTCAATGTATTCCTGTCAGTATCTACTGCTTGGTGCAATGCCCTGTACATCCATACGGACAAGCAGATGTAAACATGATGTCACTATGTCAGTGCAGCTTCCCACTTCTCCACCTCCAGACTCCTCATTGGACAGTGAATCAGCATCATTACCGTACAGTGAGCAGTTAATGCCTGACCTAATGAAATTACAGGCTTGTGCCGATGATACAAGGTTGACATCAATTTAAGATATTCATGACATCATTCAGAGTTCATTGACCTGCAGTTTAATGCCTTCTATCCTGCATTTCAGATGGGTTTTACAACACCATAGACTTGTTTGGCAATGCAAAACTCACTTGAAGCAAGAAAAGTCTGTTTAACACAGGCCCTAAAGCTGACCCATGAAGCAGTAACACCATACCAAAAGTAGAACTAGTGACCTTACTGGCTTGTAAGCTATACAGGCCAAAATTACAAACCATTTGGAAGTTAAAACAGTGAACATGTATTTGTTTCAACTGTGTAATTAGCTGTTTGCTTGGAGATCCACTTTAAGCAATATAATTTTTTATTTATGTCAAGCATAAGAAATAAGTTATACTGTATGTTTATTGTATCTTAAAAAAAACATTCTATTTGGGTTTTCACCCAAGTGTACAAAAATTTTACCCAGCATTTAGAAATGTTTCCAATTGCAACCATTTAGCTAAATGTGTGAATCCTGGGTGAAAGCTTTGTGAATCTTGTGTGAAAACATTTACAGACAGACCCCTAGGGGTCTATTCAAACCTTTGCACTGTGAGGCAGTGCAGTACCACACACGATGAAGTTCGATATTTTGCATGTCACAATTTGTTTCAGTAGAGAAGCACATTCAGGTTTTGATGAGCCTGCAGTATTTTTATTACCTCAGCGCAAAGATGGCGACATTAGGGATAAGCTGGGGTTCGGCTCTAGGTTCAGGCAAAACCAATGTTTGAAGTCAGCTGTCTGTTCCTTAGAGCAGATAATTCCTGAGACGGTGGGGGATTCTTCTTTGGGTCTGTGTTTTGACCTGACTTTCCCTGGACATCACCTGGGTACTGCAGGACTCTCACCATCAGAAAGGTTTGGGAATTCTTTCTGCAACAGGTCAGATGACCTGTTTTCCATGCTGGACAGCATTGATTGTGTGGTTTGGGACAGTAAGGATATGACCTCCTCTATAGGAGATAGAATCTCCTTTATGGATACTCTCTGCATTGAAGGGTGAGGTTTCAGCACTTGAGTTCCCCTGTCTTCCTATTTTAAGGGAAGTATCCATCACTGGAAGGTACAGTTTTTCCCTGGACAGCCAGCAGACAGAAGTTGCTTGGACCCTGCTGGGAATAGTGCAAATCTGGGGATCTTCATGGGACCTGAACACCAGGAGACAGGTTCTTCTTTTACAGCCAAGCTAGAGTCTCCTTCAGTTGCTTATTTTCTGCTTCCTTCAATCAAATGCATATGCCTAGTACTAGACCTAGGATTTGAACCTCTTACTATTTAGCAAAGTATGATACCCCCTTCATTAGCAGGTTACATGAATATTTGAATCATATAATTGACAACTGGTAAGACAGGGTTACAGTGTGATCTATCACACCCCATGTATATCTGCAAATGTTCGATTGGAAGAACCCTTTTTCTCATTTCTGATCCTGGTGTTTTCCTGTACACCATGCATTATGATATATTATTTTGACTGTCTTCCCTTTGTGTGGATGTTGTTGTTTTTTTCCTTACCTTCTTCTTTATATGTATCTCACACCCATAGCTACAGTATATCTTTGCAAAATTGGGTGTGCGATTAGGCAAGCTGGTTCCTAACATAGTCCCTCCTATACCTGAACTCGAGGGTTAGGAATTTAGTCTTGAGCTTTTTGAGTGATTGGTCTCCTTTTTAAACATAGTTGTCTTTTCAAACTTCCTCTTAGGGAGTTATTTTTACCTGGGATTTAGCCAATTAAAATTTTGTATTTGCTTTCCTCATTTTGTTGTTGGGCTAGTTTTCTTCCTGTTTGGATAGCATGATTTTTCCATCTGTTTGATGGATAGTAGATTGGTCCTCCAGTTTCTCTGGACAAGGCCCATGGTTTCTCAGGTTCTAGTTTTCCTTAAAGTTGATTCTGCTGTTCTGTTACACCAGGTTGATTCCTGGTGCCTTCTTCTTGGTTGTGGCTTTTGTCCTTTTTTTGCATTTTCATTTTCTTCTTTTTAGTCTTGATTTCAGGCGATGATTCAGGCATAGATACCCTATTTTTGTCTCTGCATCAATTGAACCCCTCAGTGGCTGTTGCCCACCCCTCAGTTGGACAGCTTTTGTACATTCTGCTTTAGAATTTCTCAATTCCTGTGTTCCTCAATGGATGATAAAGAAAATAAGATTTTTGTGCTTACCATAAAATCTTTTTCTTGAAGTTCATTGAGAGATGCTGAGGGATTGATTTACTAAAGGTAAATAAACTGTGCACTTTGCAAATGCAGTTACACTCTGCAAGGGCATTTGCTCCAGAGTTTAGTAAATGAGGTGAAGCTTCACTTTGCAAAGAATCCTCAATCACATGCATTTTTGCTTGTACGAGATTGGATGATGGAGGTCAGCAGAGCTTCCCATCATTTCCTAAGCTCTGGAGCAAATGCCCTTCCAGAGCGTAACTGTGCTTGCAAAGGGCATTGTCTTTTTGCCTTTAGTAAATCAACTCCAGTGCATTGAAATTCATCGAGAGACTTCTGTGTATTGGCCCTAGGAACTGCTTGCTCACAAAACTGAGGTTAGATGGGAAGAAAATAGGTATTTTTTCTGTATGCCAGTGTCTCGACTCAATTGTTTTAGAATTCCTAAATTCCTGTGTCCCTTAATGGCATTCACGAGAAAGAGTTTATGATAGGTACAACATTATTTTCTAGCTTCAGCAAAGCAGTTTCCTGCTTCCTTAGTTTGCTCCCTGAATCAACATTTTAGTTTCGGTCAATTGGGTAGGACGCTGAACCATTTAAGCAGTAATGCTAAACCAGGAAGTAGCAGTAATGATCTCCTTGACTAAACTAGGCTTAAAGAGAGCCTGTCCCTAGACTTTGCATACTAAACTATTTCCATATTCTGAACAAGCAGTAAAACACTTTGTAATAGGCCTCATTCACCTCTGTAGCTATAGGCTCTGTGTCTAAATCAATTTTCCCTCATTATGACATGATAATATATGCATTCCTGCTTTTGGTATATAGATGTGTTCACATATGCATCAATGTTTGCCTTCTGTATTATATTATCATGATCCCTGTTCTGCAGTTTAAAATGCCATCGCATAGAGAAGGTGAAAATAAATGTGTCTTTACCACAATGTAAATTATACTTTCATTATCTAATCTGTATTTTGTCAGGGGCACTGCTGACTGGTTTGGAGTAAGTAAAGACAGCGACTCGTCTCATAAATGGCAGAGGAAGAGCCTTAGACATTGCAGCCAGAGATATGGAAAGTTGAAACCACAAGTTATCCGAGAAATGGACCTCCCTAGCCAAGACAACATATCTCTAACAAGTACAGAAACTCCACCACCTCTTTATGTGGGACCAGCTCAGTTTAATATGCAAAAGGTATTATTCACACATTTTGAATTGACATTCTGCCTTTTCCTTGAATATAAACTTTTAAACATTGTAGTTCTTAAATAATAATAGTCTAAGTATATGGACCAAATACACTTTAATTTATATTTACCTTATCCAAAATTTAAGCTTGTTTCGGAGCCACAATAAGATAGAACCAATACTTACTTTTATAGTAAAGGTCAATATTTGCATACAAATATCCTTGCCTATGTTTCTGAGTGGTTTTTTTTTTCAGTTTTCCTTATAAGTATATGATTATTGGCTCCTTAAAATGTGTGTCAGGGTAAAAAAAAAAAGACATGGATGCAAACACACAAACATGCAGTACAACTTTACAATACATGTCTATTTGCCTTAGTTTTATTCCTCTCATACCTTTATACTCCTTATGGACCAGAGCAAATTTTACATTTCTGCTTACCTTTGTTATTACTTAAATAAAGAGTAATACATAAAATGCATTTTGGGGATAGACTAAGCTTTCATTTGGCAATATTGTCTTGCAGAGATTTTTCTTTTTTTTTTTTATCTATAGACAAAAAGTTGTTTTACTGTAGATAAAATTCTGTACTGTACTTTATTCTATTTGTCCTATTTAAATGACAATACAAGTGAAGCAAAGCATGGAAGAAGTTATCTGCAAGTTATTTGCAAATAAAAAAGGCTTTTTTAATTTTTCAATTTTGTGCATTTTTTGTGACCCTGAAATAAATAAGAAATGAACTAATGAAAATTAAAAATGATGTTAAATAAAACAGAAATAAAAAAATAAGCAAAAACAAAATAGCTAAGGGAGAAAAGCATTAATAAGGTACTAAATAGGAATACATTTTATTTGAAAAAAAATAAAAAAAATGTTGGTAATAGCGGCCATGGGGGGCGGCAGATGGGGGAGAGGAGCTGAATGTAGGAGATACTGTACATCTTAGAAACTTTGTTGATATCTTTAGGATATATCTCCTATGTTTAAAATCCTCAAGCAACATAGACCCTGCAAGTACAGAAAAATACCTGTTGATGGGCCAGAAATGCACTCAACCTTTTGAGGGCTGACATTACAAAATTCACTTTTTGCATACCTGTTAGGGGGGGAAGAAAAACAGCAGTAAATTTCCCTTATTTTAGTAGAGTGGGTGTAGTAAGAACATCTGTGCAACTGTTACTACTGTCTTTTCCCTTTTGAGAAGACTTACCTGTATCTATGTCCTATTGTTTGCCTGTATGGTAAGTGAAGGGAGGGTATATTATTTGAGAACACAGCCCATAGTTATATACCTGACAGAGTTTATAATGCTTCTCAAACTATACAAAACAGAAAAAATGGCTAGAGTGGGCTGTAATTTATCAAGTATCTTAAGCACTTCAATCCGGACGCTTTTACTCCCTTCCTGACCAGGCCAATTTTCAGCTTTCAGTGCTATGACACCTTGAATGACAATTGCTCGGTCATGCAACACTGTACCCATATGAATTTTTTAGCATTTTTTTGAGACAGATAAAATTTTATTTTGGTGGTATTTATCCACCACAGGGATTTTTATTTTTTTGCTATATAAATTAAAAAGTCCAAACATTTTGGAAATAAAAGTGTTTTTCTTATAAAATGTTGCAAATAAATAATCTTTCTTCCTAAATCTTGGCCAAAACGTATTCATCTATCTTTTTTAATACAAAAAAACCCAAATTAGTTTATAATCAAAAATTATAATTTTTAAAAAAACTTTTTACATTTTTATTTTATTTTTTTATATTATTATTTTTGTTTTTTTTTTAACATACTGTCACCCTAGCAGTACAGTGTCACCATAGTGACACTTTACTACTTGTGGGGGGGTGATGAAGATTTTTTTTTTTTTTTTAGAGTGATTGCTTTTACACCCATAAAGGCTGTGAAAGCAATAATTTCTTCTTCTCTCTTGCTGCCATAGAGAAATACTGTGAGAGCTGTGATTGGTAACAGCTTGTCACATGGTACAAGGCTGTTGTGAATAGCCTTGTACCATGTGACCTCTGTGATCATTCACAGATTTCACAAGTAGTAAGCGATGATGTCAGAAGTGACATCTTGCTTACTACTATTCATGTGATCACTGATTGGCCAATCAGTGATCACATGATCGGGACCTCACACAGAGGTCCCGTATAGCGATCTGTGTTCCGCTGTGTGCGCTCCTTGGGAGGGAGGCAGGGAAGCGGGGAGGACGTTTATAAACGGCCACCCGCTCCTGCAGTGCTCCTGCCCGGCCTTTTATATACTTGGGCCAGATGGGAAGTGGTTAAAGAATAAGTTTACCATTTGACCAAGGTAAAAAAATGTGCATTTATTATTTTTGGTTGCAGGAGCCTGTAAAGGATTGCACCAGTGATCAGCAGATCGTTAGTGCCATGCAGGTCTCCTGCAGACCTGTCAGTATATCTGCTTGCCCGTACAGGATGTAAGGGCAAGCAGATATACTGACAGGAAGATTCAATTAACTACCATGGCGCTCCACAGCAGCTGCAGCATTGGGAACCTGTTACATGTTCCACCCTAAAAACAGGTGGAACATGTAACATGTTCCCAAAGGTGAACTTATCCTTTAAGCTGAATATTTGCATTAGTTGTTTAAAGCATTCATGAATCAGAACATGCACATGATATTAAGCCTATGAAAACATGCTTGGGCAAATGTGCATTCCGTGTACCATTTAAGCACGGGCACCTTTATCAAAAATATCATAAAATAAATGTATTTTGCCATGTGGCTATATGATAAAGTAGTGAAGTGAGGTCAAAGAGAGGAACCAACAGGCGATCCAGGGCATCAACACTCCAGGAAATGTAAGGTTTCCAGCAGACATCGAGGAACTATTTTACAAAATCAGAGCATTGTTCAGTGGTGCATGAACCAGAAAGGGTGACAATTTACTGCCATCAAGACTACTTTGTTGTCCATGTACATGTTTTATACCTTTATTCTTTCCTTTTCATTAGGAAAAGCTGTCAGAATATGTTTTGGTTATTATATAATAAGTATTAATAGAATTCATGTAAATATATGCAGATTATTGATCCACTGGCACGAGGACGCGCTTTTCGAATGGTAGAAGACATAGATGGCTACAGTATGCCACATACACCTATTACACCAGGAGCAACTTCTCTCTGCTCATTTACCAGCTCAAGATCTGGATTCAGCCGATTTCCCCGGAGACGGAAAAAAGAGTCTGTGGCAAAAATGAGCTTTAGAGCTGCAGCGGCACTTGTGAAGGTAAGATCCAACATATTTTGGGATATTTCCACAAGTTCTGAGTAGCTCGAATAATAGCAGTAAGATGTGCTTAATATGCTTTTTGAAATTAGAATGTTATACTGTATTACCCATTTACCCATATCCTTGTCTTAGTGTTTTGGATAAATGTAATATAATTGAGCATATTAACATTCTGTATATCATTTGTTTTAAAGGAGTGATCATTTCAATCCACTTTGTAGCTCCCACTCATAGCCAGTGTTTGGGCAGATGAAACATCTGACAAGTCAAGCTGGTTCATCTAAACTACTTCTCCCTCATTGTGTCTACTTACATTTTTAGGATTCAATCTCTGTATCATTGCTGATCAGGCTGTTCAAATCACAAAAACTCCCTTTTCCTTTAGTGCATGTCAGCTGTTATTTAATATAAAATAATGTTTCATTCACTATACCATTGCAATTGTGTTGTTTTTGCTTTCATCTCCAGCACAGTGCAGGAGAATATTTTCTACTTCCACATTCCATAGCCTCCATAGTTACATAGCTAGTCTGGTTGAAAAAAGACACACATTCATCTAGTTCAACCAATCTTATGAAGCATCCATTGGTGAGCTAGTTATACAGCATTTTTTCTACATTATGTAGTGGATCCTATTAAAAAAATGCAACAGATACTTACAAGGTGACACTAGATGCTTATCTGAACTATTTGTCACTGTATAGGGTGTGGGTGGAAGTTTCACAAACCAAATCTCAAGTTAAATAAAATTCTGCAATTCATGGAAACCCATCACAAAAATCATTTTGGATAGAGTTCAATTTTAAGGCGTCAAGTGCTGCTGTAGTTCTTTAAGTGATATGGCACTTGATTCTTGGATTTATAATGTATGCAAGTGGAGGATGGGCAGAGGTTCCAAAACTATGGCAGGGGGATCTCACTGCTGGAGCCTACAAGAAATAAAAGAAGCCATCAAATGAGTCAACTCACCAATTCTCCACTTATAACTGAAATATTAATTTTAGGATGACCTGACGCTGGTCAATGAGATATCAGAGGTGTACAACAGTGTACCCATGCTTTGTTACCATGTATTTGTTATAGGATGGTATAGCCACATTTCTAGTAAGAGTACACCTGCCTCCATAAAGGAAAAGATGGAAAGTGTAGGTGAAAGAGGAAGCTGAAAATTTGGTGACTTTTAGCTACAAACACTAACAAATGTGCTAACCTTTCACTGTAGGGTCGATCAATAAAGGAAGGTACTTTACGAAGGATACATAGACGAAGCTTCACTCCGGTTAGTTTTTTTAGAAGAAGATACTATGGATTTTCCTGATGAACTGGACACATCATTTTTTGCAAGGGTGAGAACTATTATTTCATTGTCTATTTTGATCAGTTAGAGGAAAACAAATAGATACTACACTAGTTATTTATAGTTTTTTTGTTATTATGGTTTACCTTTATAGTTCAATCCGCAGTCTGTATCATTTTCCAAAACAGATAATAGCTTCATGTTTCTTGCAGTATGGCAAATGGGATATTTTGTAAACCATTAGTAAAAAAAAAAAAGCTCCAGATATCTTTTTGTCAGGTAGAAATGAAGAGCCTAAACACTTGTTACCTTAAATGTAACAATGTGTAAAAAAGGTAGATGTGAGCGCACAAATCACTTTAAAAGTGAAAGCAGCCAAGCACAAGGTAACCAAAATAACCCTGAAATGAAATATAAAAGTGATATGCGGTGCTAAGAAAGATATGAATGTATAAAAGTAACGTATAATGATAAAATAAGATCAAGTATCACTGATCATAATAAATCATAAATAAATTCATCTGTTGACCAAGGTGCTCATTAATCCTGTGTCTTCCTGGAGAAGGTGAATATAGGTGAATATAGGTATATAAGCAATGCACACTCACCAGAAAGCGCAAGTAAATGCGCGTTATAATTATATCCTGATGTCATCAAATGGTCATCATGGGGTGATGGTCAGGGATCTGGTGCTTCTCCTCTGTGGGTGGATGGATCCTAAGGTGTAAGCTGGTTGTTATCAGGATACTCCAGAGTTCCCTTAAATGGGATGGGTGGTTAGGATCGCTGTGAAACCAAAAACTCCCTCAGAGCTTTGACCCGTACGGGTCAAAGCGTTTGTTTGGGATCACACCCTCAGATCCTTCAAGCATACAGCTTCTCCACTGGACCAGTTTCACAGCGATCCTAAACTCCAGAGAGGGAGCCTCTATTAGACCTAGAGGACTACACCCACCCATCCCATTTAAGGGAACTCTGGAGTATCCTGATAACAACCAGCTTACGCCTTAGGATCCATCCACCCACAGAGGAGAAGCACCAGATCCCTGCCATCACCCGATGATGACCATTTGATGACATCAGGATATAATTATAACACGCATTTACTTGCGCTTTCTGGTAAGTGTGCATTGCTTATACACCTATATTCACCTTCTCCAGGAAGACACAGGATTAATGAGCACTTTGGTCACCAGATGAACTTATTTATGATTTCTTATGATCAGTGATACTTGATCTTATTTTATCATTATACGTTACTTTTATACATTCATATCTTTCTTAGCACCGCACATCACTTTTATACTTGTTACCTTAGTGCATTCCCTGCATTAAGATAAATAATGTGTAGGTAGTAATATTGCCCCCTCACCCCTCACTCGATCAACCTCTATGCCTGCCTTTAGCTGTGCTTTCTGATCTCACAGGTTTTGCTGAGGCAGAAGGACCTCTTGGCCCCTGCTGTTATCAGTCATATCCTGTGATGGAAGGGCTGCCTGGAGACGGAGCCCAGCCGCACTGTCTGTGTCTATGAATGCAGGCAATGTGTCTTAAGAGCCCGCAGGTGTGCCACAATAGGAAGCGGTTTTCTATGATGGCACACTGAGGAGAGGAGGAGCCAGGAGCACCAGTAGGAGGACCCCAGAAGGGAAGGATGGGGGGCCCTATGTGCAGTTCTATTGCACTGAGCAGGCAAATATAACATGTTTGTTATTTGAACTTTACAATCACTTTATTATTATACGTAGTGGATTCACAACATATAATCTCGTCTGTCCACCTCCTGCTCCAATGCATTTCACCCAACAAAGGGCTTAATCATGGAGCTCCAAACATCTTAGCTTATACTTGTGTGATTGGCTTATACACATGGGTGAAACTGTACATTTTAATGCCCAATTCTTTTTACTTTAAGGTATGCTCATGCAAAGAGTTGTAATGAGATGTATTGCTTTGCTGTACAACTTTTATTAAAATATAATAAATAGTCATTTAAACTCCAGCAATGATCTTTTTTTAAATCTTACATCCTGCTTATTTACATCTAATTCTTTATAGCTGGGGATGCAGCATTTCAGTGTAGTAACCTGTGCTACATACAGTCAGCGTTGGTTTCTTCTGTATGCTGCTTGAGCAACTTGCCTTCTGTACACTGAACACAGGATAACTTGTTCAGCACCTCCACCACCCAGAGAACGCTTACAGTATTTTCTGGCGTATAAGACTACTTTTTATACTTAAAAATATACCCCGAAAATTGGGGGTCGTCTTATACGCGGGGTATAAAATGTGAACCTTGAGTTTGTTTGGGTCAAGCTGGCTGGATGTATGGTAATACTGTACATACAGTATACTGTGCTGAGCCAAGCTGGCTCAATACAAATGTCCCTATGATAGATTAATCTGTCAGCCCGATGGATGTGCCGTATATACAGTATACTGCGCTGAGCCAAGTGGTTTCAAAAAGTACCGGTACGTCCCTACTGTAATCAGCCCACTGGATGCGTGTATGTACAGTAGCTGCGGCTACATACAGTATACACTGGGCCAATCACGGCGAGTGATGTATTCTACTAATGAATACAAAGCCTGCTTGGATTGGCTGAGTCAGAGAGGTGGGCTGATGATGTTGCAACCTCAGCCAATCCGAGCAGGCTTTGTATTCATTAGTAGAATACATCGCTCGCCGTGATTGGCCTAGCGTATACTGTATGTAGCCTCAGCTACTGTACATACACACATCCAGCGGTCTGATTACCGTAGGGACGTACCGGTACGTTTTGAAACAGCTTGGCTCAGTATACTGTATATACCACAGTGGTATATACTCAGTATACTGTATATACCACACATCCAGCGGGCTGACAGATTAATCTGTCATAGGGACATTTGTTTTGAGCCAGCTTGGCTCAGCGCGGTATAATGTATGTACATTACTGCACATCCAGAGGGCTGTATGTATACTGTATAGCTGCACATCCAGCAGTAACCATCTGATTTGGAATTTGATCCATATGATGACTGTCTTACAAATGTATCACAAGATGTCATTCGTGAACTTATGATGTCAGAGGATGAACATGAGGATTTTGAAGGATTTTAAGTACCGGTAAGTCATAATCATTTCAATTAAAAAATTTAATGTTTTTAAATGATGTTGCCTCGGAAGGGGGGTAGTCCTATAGGGTGAGTATAGCCCAACTGGAAAATTAGGGGGTCGTCTTATACACCCAGTCGCCTTATATGGCGGAAAATACGGTATACGTTTTTCAATGAATACAGTGAGTGCTGTCATTGGACAAGGTGCAGAGAAATGGTGGATGAAGTCAGGATTTCTGCCTCATCCAAGCAGAGAACACTTTGTATTCATGGAAAAGAATACATGACATTCTCTGAATTCCATAGGCACTGAGCGAGTGACCCATACAAATGGAAATGCACACATAGGTCCGGAGAGGAATTGCCGTCAGAATAGGAGCACTAAGTCTAGTGCCATAGCTCATGTTTGATTGCCTATGGACAATTTTAGATACCATAGTTTGTTGCCATTTCACAGTCATGCACAATTTTAAATCTTGATATGTTTGGTATTTATTTAAATTTTTTATTATTTAATTTTCCCCTGAAAATGTGTGCTGGATAAATGGCTTCACATTTAATGTGTGACATAAAATTTTTTTTAATAGTCACCGTTTTATTCTCCGGGGCTTCTGCTGTCATAAAATATAAACTGTTTTGGAGTTTTTAATTTTTGAGGATTTTCTAGCATAAAATGCAGATTTTTAACATGTATGTAAAAATTAAAAAATTGCCCTGGTAGGCAAGTGGCTAATTGAATTTGACTATGCAAGAAAAGTCAAAATAGTTTTCTCCCTTCTGCATTTCTCAGTTATTTTTGCTCTGTTTTATAATTATAAATATCATTCTGTTTCATAAATAGGAAGGAGCTCTTCATGAAGATATGTCAAGTTACCCCGATGAAGTGTTTGAATCTCCTTCAGAGGCAGCCATCAAAGAGGCCGATGATACAGCAAAAGCAGAAGATGCTTTGGAACATACAGGGAGTGCCTTGGACAAAAGTGAATTAGAAAAAAGTCATTTAATGCTGTAGGTGGTTATCTAATTTACATAAACTAAGCAGTAATTGTAAATCTCCCCCTTTTATTGTTTTTATCTATATTCAGTATATCCTATAATATTAAACTTAAAGCTAAAAGTAAATAAAAGTAAGCTTAAAGCTTAAAGTAAATGATACCTTTTTTAAAAAATAATAAACATGACATACTTACCTAAACCCCATTTTTTCCTGGGTCCCCTGCCGGTGCTCTTGACGCCTTCTCTTCTCTGTGTGCCACCATATGAAGCCGCTTTTTATGGGGGTGCACCTCTGGATATAGTGGATAGAAAAAGTCTACACACCCCTGTTAAAATGTCAGGTTTCTGTGATGTAAAAAAATGCACCAAAGATAAATAATTTCAGAACTTTTTCCACCTTTAATGTGACCTATAAACTGTACAACTCAGTTGAACAACAAACTGAAATCCTTTAGGTGGAGGGAAGTAAAAATAAAAAACTAACATAATTTGGTTGCATAAGTGTGCACACCCTTAAACTATTACTTTGTTGCAGCACCTTTTGATTTTGTTCCAGCACTCAGTCTTTTTGGGTATGAGTCTATCAGCATGGCACATCTTGACTTGGCAATATTTGCTCACTCTTCCTTGCAAAAACACTCCAAATCTGTCAGACTGCGAGGGCATCTCCTGTGCACAGCCCTCTTTAGAGCACCCCACAGATTTTCGATCCGATTCAGGTCTGGGCTCTGGCTGGGCGATTCCAAAACTTTAATCTTCTTCTGGTGAAGCCATTCCTTTGCTGATTTGGATGTATGCTTTTGGTTGTTGTCATGCTGAAAGATGTTTCATGTTCAGTTTTCTAGCAGAAGCCTGAAGATTTTGTGCCAATTTTGTCTGGTATTTGGAACTGTTCATAATTCCCTCTACCTTGACTAAGGCCCCAGTTCCGGCTGAAGAAAAACAGCCCCAAAGCATGATGCTGCTACCACCATGCTTCACTGTGGGTATGGTCTTCTTTTGGTGATGTGCAGTGTTGTTTTTTGGGCCATACATATCTTTTGGAATTATGGCCAAAATGTTCAACCTTGGTTTCATCAGACCATAACATATTTTTCCACATGCTTTTGGGAGACTTCAAATGTTGAGATGTGTTTTTGCAGAATTTAGCTGGGCTTGGATGTTTTTCTTCATGAGAAAAGGTTTCCGTCTTGCCACTCTACCCCATAGGCCAGACATATGAAGAATACGGGAGATTGTTGTCACATGTACCACACAGCCAGTACTTGCCAGATATTCCTGCATCTCCTTTATTGTTGCTGTGGGCCTCTTGGCAGCCTCCCAGACCAGTTTTCTTCTCGTTGTTCCATCAGTTTTGGAGGACTGTCCAGTTCTTGGTAATGTCACTGTTGCGCCATTTTTTCTCCACTCGATGATGACTGTCTTCAATGTGTTCCATGGTATATCTAAGGCCTTGGAAATTCTTTTGTACCCTTCCCTAAGTGATACTTTTTAACAGTGAGATCCCTCTGATGCTTTGGAAGCTCTCTGCGGACCATGGCTTTTGCTGTAGGATGCGACTAAGAAACTGTCAGGAAAGACCTACTAGAACAACTGAACTTTATTTGGGGTTAATCAGATGCACTTTAAATGGTGGCAGGTGTGTACTGACTCCTTTTTAACATGATTTTGAATGTGATTGCTTCATTCTGAACACAGTTACATCCCCAGTCATAAGAGGGTGTGCACACTTTTGCAGCTACATTATTTTAGTTTTATATGTTTAGTTCCCCCCTAAAAGATTTCAGTTTGTTTTTCAATTGAGTTTTACAGTTTATAGGTCACATTAAAGGTGGAAAAAGTTCTGAAATTATTTATCTTTGTCTCATTTTTTTACATCACAGAAACCTGACGTTTTAACGGGTGTGTAGACTTTTCATATCAATTCTATGTATATATATATATATATGTATGTATATGTATATATATATATATATATGTATACATTTGAAAAAAATATATAAAATAAAAATTTGAGAGTGCAAAGCAGTTATTCTTCTAAAACTGCTACATTTTTTTCAAAGTATACATACACAGTGATAAAGGAGGACAATTAAATGTAGTTAATTTGCAACAATGTGCATAAAGGGAGTCAAGGGGGGATGAGTCAGGGCCAAAGACCATTTATGCTGTTTGTACCCATTTTTCTTTAGTCTAAGGGTACCTGTAGCTGGGAGTCTAAAGTATATTAGTTTCCAGTTCCTTTTTGAAGGGGTTGTTTGCATCGCAGAGCAGGAAAACAAGCTTGTACAGTATATGTCTGTCAGACAATATGGAATTTATGTAAGAGTTATAACAAAAACATTTCTCGCTGCCTTTATCATCCAATCAGCGATGGAACTACCAGGGTAGCAAGTGTGACTGGGCTGTGGAGTTCTGCCACTGTAGGGAGGCCTACCGACCTCTGCCTGCCGCATGCCGCCAACAGCTGTTCTACCAGTATGAGAGGAAATCTAGTCTCACCCCCCGGGAAGCACACACATCCCATCCCCCTCAGGGGACCTCTGGTGTAAGGGGTGCTCTGTTCCTGCAGTGGTCAGCCTTACGGCTGGGTTCACACCTATGCATTTTGTGTTTGATTCATTTCTGCATTGCGTTTTTGCACATAGATTTATAACGTATTGTTGATGTGTTTTGCGTTTTTTTTTTCTTGTTGCAAGACAAATTTAAAATGCAAAACGCGAAAAAAAAACGCATCAAAAACGTGGCAAAAACACAGAGAAAACGCACTGCATGCTTTTCTGCAGCATTTCCATTGAAGTTTATAGAACAAAAAACACTTTTTGCGTTTAAAAAAGTCCCTGACCCTTTCCAAAAAAATACACCGGGTGAAAACGCGGAGATGTGAGTACCATAGGAAATCATGTTAAATGGACTGTAGTGCTTAGGTGTTAACCTAGGGTACATCAGTGTTCCTTCTTGAATCAGAGTCCCCAGAGATGTCCCTTACATCAGAGTCCCCAGAGATGTCCCTTACATCAGAGTCCCCAGAGTTCTTCCTTACATCTCCCCCCCTTACAGTGTAAGGGAACTCAGTGCAAGTTCATATGCAAATGGTAACTCTGTAAGTTCAGATGCTATGGAGAACTTTATGGATTCAGATGTAAAGGGGAAGTCTGCAGATTCAAATGTAAGGGGAAGTTTGCGGATTCAAATGTAAGGGGAAGTCTGCAGATTCAAATGTAAGGGGAAGTTTGCGGATTCAAATGTAAAGAGGAAGTACCGTGTGCCACTAAAGTGTTCAGGTTTGGCTTGAAGAAAAGATGGCAACCCTACACAAGAACAAAATGCGATATCTCCTGCGCTCCAGGACCCAGACCGGTGGTGAGTAGATGGAACAAACTCCAAAAAAGGAAGAAACCACCGAAATAGACAAGGTCATGCAGCTCCACACCAAGGCGGGGGAAGCCCAAACGAAACTGTGAGGAAGAACAACAAAAAGAAGCGCACCAACCTTGCGCATTACCTCAGTAACCAAAATTTATTGAATAAAAAGAATGGTACTCACAAACAGCGAATAAAAACAGGCATGTAAGTCCTCAAAGGGACTTTAAAGGCAAGATGCAAATGCGAATCCCATCATGGAGGAAGCCACTCAGTACAGCTGATGCGTTTCGAAGGACAAGCCTTCTTCCTCAGAGCCAGCTCTGAGTGAGTGGCTGAGTGGCTTCCTCCATGATGGGATTCGCATTTGCATCTTGCCTTTAAAGTCCCTTTGAGGACTTACATGCCTGTTTTTATTCGCTGTTTGTGAGTACCATTCTTTTATTCAATAAATTTTGGTTACTGAGGTAATGCGCAAGGTTGGTGCGCTTCTTTTTGTTGTTAACCCTACACAAGATGCAGAAAGGGGGCCTGCTTCAGGACATGTGAAAATGTCCTGCTCTAGGTGATAAAGGGCCCTGCGATGGGAGTAAAGGGCCCCACCATTGGTGGGAAGGGACCAGAGGTCAGAGGGGCCCTTCATGGTATCGACCATGGTGAGGCCTGTTCTGAGTGGAACCTGTCCTTTTAAACCGCTGTATGGTCTTGGCCACCATGCTGCAGCTCAGTTTCAGGGTCTTGGCAATCTTCTTATAGCCTAGGGCATCTTTATGTAGAGCAACAATTCTTTTTTTTCAGATCCTCAGAGAGTTCTATGCCATGAGGTGCCATGTTGAACCTCCAGTGACCAGAATGAGAGAGTGAGAGCGCTAACACCAAATTTAACACACCTGCTCCCCATTCACACCTGAGACCTTGTACCACTGACAAGTCACATGACACCGGGGGGGGGGGGGGGGGGGGGGGGGGGAAGGGAATGGCTAATTGGGCCCAATTTGGACATTTTCACTTAGGGGTGTACACACTTTTGCTGCCAGCAGTTTAGACATTAATGGCTGCGTGTTGAGTTATTTTGAGGGGACATCAAATTTACACTGTTATACAAGCTGTACACTCCTACTTTACATTGTAGCAAAGTGTCATTTATGCAGTGTTGTCACATGAAAAGATATAATAAATATTTACAAGAATGTGAGGGGTATACTCACTTCTGTGAGATACTGTATATGTTATACCACATGTATTTTATTGTATATTATTTTTTTTGCCACTTTAGTATATTTTATTTGTTGTTATTTGTTGTATGAGGTTATTATTGATTTATTCACTATTTAAAGCAGCAGCAATATACACACTTTATTCACACATATATTTGATTTCTTAAGTATTTGTTATTCACTTATTGAGTTGACAGTTATTTTTTGGAGTGTGGTTTGTGTGGTGATTATAATATTAATAAATGGGGTTACAGGTGAGTCTTCCATCTGCATGTTACAAAAATTCTATCTTATTCCAGGCCATTGGAGAGAGGTTGGCGTAAAGTAAAAGAAGGACACCTTGTACAGCCAAAAATTAGACTTTGTCAGGAAGTAGTCACTGTCAGTCCTCAAAAGAGAGGTCAGCGTATAACTGTCCCGGTAAAGAAGCTGTTTGCAAAAGAAAAAAGGCCATATGGTCTTGGAATGGTGGGAAGATTAACAAACAGAACATATCGTAAAAGGATAGACAGCTACGTAAAAAGACAAATAGAAGATATGGATGACCACCGGTACGTACAGTATAAGTCAATGTACTAACTAAATAAGAAACAACAACTTGTACCTTTTGTTTATAACTTGGCCTTGGTAGTGTTAAATTTAATTTTAATTTTATTTAGTCAACATATTTACTGTATGCTTTGTTATAAAGTGAAAACAATATCAGTTCAGTAATAGATCTGTAAAACCCTGTTCATAATTAAGAATTATTACTGTAGAAAATAAGCTATATATTTATGCCTTAGGAGGAATAGGATATTGCACTTTTCTTTTTATCTATAGATGATGTGATAAATATTGTGTTCTTTTCAGGCCGTTCTTCACTTACTGGATCACAGTTGTACATCTACTCATTACAATCCTGACTGTATCCATCTATGGTATTGCACCTGTTGGATTTTCTCAACACGAAACTGTAGAATCTGTACGTAACTTAAAAAAAAAACACTTGTTGGCATTGAAATAAATGAATATTACATTAGCATTATATAGCATCTCTGCACTGTAGAACCAGACCTTCCTCTTGGAAACAGCTAAAGTAGAACTATAGGCAAAACTTTTTTTTCATTTTGGATAGAGTAAGGGAGGGTTATACTGTAACTCCTTTAAGGTCTATTTTTGCCATCTATGTCCCATTGGGGAGATTTATTTTCATTTTCTGTCTTATAGCCAAACAGGAAGGGAAAGGACATCAGTGCAAATTAAGGGGATTTCTTGGGGAACCCCAGGTCACAAGAATCAGTGTCCCCATTGGAAAATTTCCCCTCTATTACTTTTCTGGGTACAATACAAAATTTGTGATTTTCTTTTACTTTCAATTTCAATGATAATGGTAAACAGGACAAATAGAGAGAGTAAATCTCTGTAACAGGGACACAGCAATAAAAGCTGACAGGTGTTCTAATCCCTCTCCACTCTATACAAAACAAAAATAAGTTTTGTCTATAGTTATACTTTAAGGTTCCAGAGCAGTAACAAGTTACTTGATGCCTAATTGATGCACACAACACTCACTCACATACTTCGTTCTGTAGGGAATCTGCCCCATTTACTACAGGAAAACACATATAGTAAGCACTGACTAGTGTGCATTACAGGCTGTGTTCCTGGTAGAGGTAAATGTATGTTTTATTATTGGTTTTGTAATCCTATAATTATTGTTATCATTAATATTTGGCTAAGCTTTTGTGTTTACCCTATGGAGATACACTACATGGGCAAAAATATGTGGGCACCCCTCCAAATGATGGTTCTGGTATTTTCAGTGAAGGGTACTGTTAATGCTACAACATACATAGACATTTTAGAGTGTTGTCCACTTTCAGTTTGAGGAAGGCTGTTTTCTGAGGCATCATGACTGTGCCCCATGCATAAATCCAGCTCAATAAAGACATGGTTTCAGGAGTTTGGTGTGGAGCTACACAAGTGGCCTTCCCAGAGCCCTGACCTCTACCCTATTCAAGGCCTTTGGGATGAATTAGTATGCTGATTGAGAGCTAGGTCTTCAAGTACAATATCAGACCTCAAAGTGTATCTGTTGGCTAAATGGGCACAAATTCCCACAGACATACTCCAAAATTGTGTGTAAATGGAAGTAGAGGCTGTTAGAGGTGCAAAGACTTCATAATGCCTGTAGTTTTGGAATGTGTCTGCAGGGCACTCATCCTTATGAAAATACAATTTTGACATTCTTTCTTAGGCACTTTTTTACTTAAAACCTGTGTTGCAGAAAATGTTAATACATTATGTAAATGTATAACAAAAACATTTTGTATATTTTACAAAAGGAAGGGGTGGTATAATTGTTTTGTTCACTTTAGCCATTTTTCTGTTCCTTATTTCATGCCTCAGTAATGAACCTCCATTGGTTGAGTTGGGCATAGACACAGCAAAGCTTCAGCCGACTCCCAATGTGTTCCTAAAGGAATTTAATACCTGCTGCAGCAAAGAATTTATGAAAAATACTTGAATTTTTCTAGGTGTACTGCACCCTCCACGTAACAGTGCTAGGGACTGCCAATTGGTCACTTAGGTAATGAGCACCAATTTGTAGGAGGGCAGGGGGAGTGATGCTCCATACCCAGGATAATTAGGATTTCTACCTATACATTTGTGCAAAATTCAGCTTTAGGTGCTTATTTAAGCTGCTTTTTATCGTGCTAGGAGCAAAGGCACTCAGGTGAGGAAATAGCATTCTGTGTGACTGAGGCCTTACAATCCAACTATACAATTGTCTTTGAATCTACTAACAACTATGTAGTGCAAGGCTTGCCTGATTGTTGCAGATTGATTGGATAGTTTAGGTTAATCCTCATACCAGATAGTTCTGGTGTGGTCTTAAAATAACATGTATGGTGAACTTAACAGGAAAAGTCAACATATTGCATATCAGTTCAGTAACCGGAAAATAAACTCTGCTTATGCATTTTTATCTCATATACTCAGCTTTGAATTATCGAAATCTGTGACAGGTTTAATTTAAATAAGAAAGGGGGTTTGGGGGGGGGGGTAACAATGCTAAATCTTTGGAGTGTATGGTTTAGAGGATCCTTTCTCAACCTTCTTACCCCAGAGGAACCATTGAAATAATTTTCAGATCTCAGGGAACCTCTGTTAAATCTAACTCTTTAGGGTCAGTGGCAAGACTGCCCCCTACATTGGTAGCCAGTGGAAAAACTGCCTCCATAAAGTGGTGGCCAAAATGTCACCCTTGCAAACAGCTAAAAAGATCACTGGATTCATGCTGCTGGCTCTGCCAAATGGAATTGGACCCAGAACTATGCAGACACCATCAGATGGAAGGTACTTTTCCCACAGCTCAAGGAACCCCTAGCAACTCTGGAGGTTACATATAACCCTGGTTGAGAATGGCTTGTTTAGAGAACCAACAAATTTGCATATTGGCAACCCTTCCTGCATCAGAAACAGAAATTATTGACATATACTTGGATATCTAAAGAGCTCTGCCATTAGAAATGTAAGAACCTTTTTAGATAATATTTGTAACAAAATAATAGTATAAGATAATATTTGTAACAAAATAATACTATAAGAATATATTGTTTTTTGCTGTTTTTTTTTTTAAATTAAATATATTCTTCCTAGGTTTTGCGAAACAAGGGAGTTTATGAAAACGTAAGATACATACAGCAAGAAAACTTTTGGATTGGACCAAATTCTGTAAGTGTTTTTATTATTATTTCCAATATACAGTATATACATTTACCAAAAAAAAGTCTTTATTAATCTTAACTATACTGAAGAAAACATATACAAAAACTACTTAACATACTTCATAAGAAATGAGACAAAATCAGAGCAGTGTGGAATAAGGGGGTTGTCATGCAGGACAACCCCTGGAAAAAATCAAAGTGGCTAGAAGCTGCTTCAGCAAACTCGACTTGTTCTCTCCTGGAAAGGCATCTAATTGAGTTTAGAGGGACATTGCATCTTCATGTCTCCTCATGACACCAGCTCTTGGTTGACATGAGTGATGGCTGTAAATGTCATTCTTCAGTCATATAGTTTAAGGTAAACGTACTGTTGATGAATTTCCAAACTTGTGAATATGGTAAATGTAAAAGCATTTTATGTATATCTACAGTGAATATGCACAGTGAATTTTAGCACTTATGCATAGTGGGGGTTTTCATTAAGGTCTAAATGTATATAAAACTAAAAACATAAATATCAGCAAAAAGGGACATAACTTACAGTAGTTAGTATCACATATTCCTTGTCCTAATTCTTCTGCTTTCAGTAGAAATCGTCATCTTTTCATGGCAGATCAGGCAGACAAGGGCGGAGTGGCGAATCAGGCAGACAAGGGCGGGCATAGTTGAGCTATCTTGATGAGAGCTCCTGTAAGCCTTGTAGCTGTTTTAACCCCCACCACACTGGTCCACAATACTGGAAGATTGGGGAGTGGAGGGAGATAGAAAAGATAAAGATTTCTACTGATAGCTGAAGAATCAGGACAAAGGACATATAATAACTGTAAGTTATGTTCCTTGTACTGAGGTTTTTTTTGTTGTTGTAGCTAAAGTATGTATGAATAAATTCCCGACATGTCACAATATATAGCATTAGAATCATTTTTTAGGAAAGATCTACCCTTTATCAATAAATACTATCCCTGGGTTCCAGTTAAGACCTTTCCTAGGCTGAGATGATTGATGTCCCCAGTCTGTTGTAGGCAGGAGAAATAATTTCCTAAGCCTCTTCTGCCCTTGTTTCTGTGCTTTAACATTGTAACTTTGTAGTAAGTGACAAAGTGAGAGGCTGCAGCAGGGGCCGATGTTTGTCAAACATTTGTTAAACCAGCCAAGAACTTCACAGGAACCAGGATTTACATCATTGTGTCATCTTTGACCTGATATCTCAGTCCATGTAACATATGCTTGCACTTGATGCCTTAAAAAAAGCTGCACTCATTTTGGAGATAAAAACAGATGAAGGCATTTTCAGGGGGAATTTCTGTAATCTATGTGAAAGGTTATACGTTCATGGAAGTGGTACACTGACACATTATGTAAAGCGGAACGTAAATCAGAAAATTAAGTTCAGCTAGATCATTTCATGCTGGCTCCTCTTGGAGGTATAGCTATGTAAAACATTAAAAATAAGTGCCTATACTTTAGCAGTGTAAAGCTTCTGTCAGCCTTCCTCTCTATCTGAGCCAAAAACATACAATCAAGGCTGGAATGTGCATATTTTAATTTAACAAAGAGACATATACTTCTTGAGATTAAGGAGAGGGGAGAGTTTCCAGTAAGGAAGTGACTGCTCTGGGCTTCAACACAATGGCGACCTCCAGCAAGACAAAATAGAAGCAATGCTGGAGGCAATTTACAGCACACACCAATTTTGGTAGCATTATTAATGGGGAATGTATATTCTTTTGTTAACATTAATTGTTATCAAACTGTTATGAGTAAAGTTCCGCTTTAACATGAAAAATAGGTCTGATGACAGGTCAGCCTGAATTTATTTCCATATATCTTTTTTATTATCAAGGTACTTGCACATCAGAGTTCACACAAATCTGTATAACATTAAATCCTAAATTTAGTTAAATAAAAAATAAGCACAACGTATTCATAGAAACCGTATTACAGCTTCTGTGAATGAGACATAATCTATGAATCATGATATGAAACTTGATATGATATGAAACCTGATTTATGAATGAAGCTATTGTTTGCTTACAGATCCTGTTTCGATCATGGATACTGTAGTACAACTTCTATGAAAGGGGGGGGAATAGTCGGGTACTCTTGATGAGAACCTCTTAGTTCTGTTAACCCACACTTCACCAGAAAATTGCAGCAGTGTAGGGGGTTGGGCATCAGAGGAGGAAGATTTGACCTAAATCAGGAGACAGCAGCACAAGGGACAGATCACAATGTCCCTTGTTTATTTTTTATTTATTTATGTATTTATTTTAAATAAATTAAGACTTTAAAGGCTTATCTTGCTTTAAAGTTCACCTTTAAACAAATAACAAAGGCATATGTTTTTGAAGAAAAAAAATGTGCATTTATTATTTTTTTTTACTGGAGCCTGAAAAGCATTGCACCTGTGATTAGTGGATTGTGTGTCAGTATTAGGCTCCTGCACACTTTCCCTCCAGCTTTCTGCCTGTACCTCAGTACGGGCTTTCAGTTAGAAAGCTGGAAGGAGAATCAATGGACCATGAGTATTGCAAATGATTACTACACTCCTAATCAATTGAAACTACAAGTCCATCCACTGCAGTGGCAGACAGGACTTGTCGTTTATTCATTCTCAGATCTCTGTGAATGAATGATGCCATTGTATGGGAAGAGCCCCACTCACCCCTGCCGATTTTAGATGTGACAGCAGCTACAACTATGAGGAACCCCCGCCCACTGTCATGGGAAGGAGCTCAGGGGTTGGGGGTGATGCTTAGAAACATATTCCTAAAAGTTAGCATAACATTTAATAAACTTACACTAATATCTGTATTTTGAATTCTTCCAGGAAGACTTAATACATCTTGGAGCTAAGTTTTCTCCATGCATGAGACAAGATCCGCAAGTGTACAGTTTAATTCAAATGAAGAGAGAGAAGGAAAAACACTCTGCTTGCTGTGTTAGAAATGACAAATCCGGCTGTATTCAGACCTCTGAAGAGGAGTGCTCGGTAAGACAGTAATGCACTGTTTGGCCACCTTGTGCATTTATGGCCATACTTTCTATTTAGGAATTGGTCATGCGTACCAACTTACAAACCTAGCAAAATATGATACACTTTCAGTGATTTGTGAAACAGATGTTTTAAAGAAAATGGGTCAGTAAAATTAGTGAGAATCCAATTTTCCATTCCTATGTTTTTATAACAGTAAAGTCTTATCTGTCAGCAATAGGTCTGTGCTGTTATTCACTTGTTTTGTCTTCCAGTCAGTTTGCAATTGTGAGTTCAGCACCAAAATGTAAGACCTTCATTAAGTCTAACCTGTCTTCTGCTTCAAATGCCAATTAGCAAAGCCTTTTATTTTCATTTACGACTGTTCCTTTGTTGTACAATGTTTTTTGAGCATCTATTAATAGCACTGAGCTCAAGCAGGAGAGAGATTACTATGATGGGGGGCGAATACCAGTACATAATGTAAAAAAATCAGCCTAAAAGTAAGGACTCCAACCCCCGGAAACGTTGGAATATAACTGAACAAAAACTGTTGTAGCGAAAAAAAGAGGTGTATGAGTGGAATCCTCATTCTCAGTCAAGATCCCAGAGAATGTTAAGGACTCCACATCTTGCAAGAGGTGTGAAGAACGTGGTGCCCTTCTCACCAACTAACAATGCCACTCTCAGCTTCACCCTGCACAAAGATTTTCCAGCTCGCGGGACTACAATCTAGATGCCAGCAGCCTGAGAGGGATTGTGAGTGGGTTAAGTTAATTAAGAAATGAACTATTTAGGCTACCACCAGCACCTTTTGACTGAGGAGGAAACTCACAATCTTAGCAAGAACAAATATAAAAAGTAAACGTCTCTACACACACTGTCTCCACAGACAGGTATATTCAGAGATTTATCATATACAGTAGAACTTTTCAAGAAAGAGGGATTCTTTAGTTTGCATTAAAAGCCTTAGGGACAGTTTTAACACTTTTTAAAATAGGGTTTAATAATGAAAAGTTCAAAATGGTGCAAATAAAATATTTACAGAAAAAAGGGTGCTATAAGAAAATAAAGAGACAATAAAGCAACAGAGAAATAAAAAGTAGTTGAAATTGAAGAATACTTGCAAATCTCTTGGTTTTAGCAGAGATCAGTCAATAAGCAATGAAATTAGCTTCAAAATGGATATAGAGATGACAGGTATTGGACATCTGTTTCTCATTGGAGGGGTGTGGAGGCCTAATCCACTCTGGTACCTCCTAGCATAGGGGTGTTTTGGGTTCAAAACACTACAAATTAACTGAGGGAGGTAATATGTCTATGTTATGGCTGTGCTTTCATTATTTAATAAGTTAGGAAACAAAACATGCTGAAGTTTTTGAGTCTTGGCTGATCAGTCAAAAGAAATGTGTATTCCACAGACTTCCAACCCAGTGTCTGTTAGTTCTATAGATTGCTCAAGCTTGCAAGGGTGACAGTTTAGGGTTTCCAGACTGAAATTGTGGGTTGGTAATGGAGAGGTCTGTGTGTCCAATAAATGGATTGATAAGTCCTGACTTAACAATTGTGTATTGTGCCAGATGGCTTCCTGGGAGGATGTAAAAGGAGGCCACTGCTGCCATTAGGCCTCCTTGTGCTTCAAACTGTTATGGGTGAACTCTGAACAACATGGCTGCCACACACACAGCTATTCATGTGCCTAGTACACACAACCATTACACGAGATTGCTGGGGGTACAGTGCTAAGAACATGTTCTCAGCAAAATTTGGAGTACTCCACCTTCCCCAGTTCTCGCTGGAAGGAGGATGACTCCACCCTTGCCTAGGCATGCAGGTGGAAGCTGGGGGAAAGGTGAGTATACTCTCTATTTTTCTTTTTTGGGTGTGTTTTTATACTATTTTCCAGTGGTTCAGCTGAGGAGAGGATCTTGCATTTTAGGCACAAGGTCCACTTTGAATTGCCTAGATGTAGTGCCCTGATGAATGTTAACCACAGAGCTGATCTTTGTGTACATTATTATTATTATATATTATTTATATAGCGCCAATGGGTATGCTCAGCGCTGTACAGTAGCAGGGGGGACAGAACGTGAGACAAGACAGTAACAATACAATACACGAGGGGTTCGAGGGCCCTGCTCTTTCGAGCTTACAATCTATGAGGGAGGGGAAGGTGGCACAGGAGGAGATGGCTGTGGGGGATGGAGTGGCGGGAGGAGTGGAGGAGGTTAGTTGTTAGGTGAGGTCGGGTGTTAGGTGATGTTGGGGTAGGCTTCCCTGAAGAGGAGGGTTTTCAGGGTGTTCCTGAAGGTGAGGAGGGTAGGCGACAGTCTGATGGATTGGGGTAGGGAGTTCCAGAGGATGGGGGAAGTCCTGGAGAAGTCCTGCAATCGAGCGTGGGAGGAGGAGACCAGGGAGCTAGAGAGTAGGAGGTCCTGTGAGGAGTGGAGGGCACGGGTAGGGTAGTATTTGGGTATCAGGTCAGTTATGTAGATTGGGGCGGCATTGTGAATGGCTTTGTAGGTCAGAGTTAGCAGTTTGAATTTTATGCGTTGGGCAATCGGGAGCCAATGAAGGGATTGGCAGAGGGGGGAGGCAGATGTGGAGCGGTTGTGGTGAGGTGGATGAGTCTAGCCGCTGAGTTTAGGATCGACTGGAGTGGGGATAGCTCTCGTTTGGGTAGGCCAGTGAGAAGGGAATTGCAATAGTCCAGGCGTGAGTTGATGAGGGAGTGTACGAGTTGTTTGGTGGTGTCTGGGGTGAGGAATGTGCGTATCTTGGAGATGTTGCGGAGGTGGAGCCTGCAAGATCTAGATAGCAGTTGGATGTGGGGTACAAAGGAGAGATGGGAGTCCAGGGTGACACCCAGGACTTTGGCGTGTGGGGTGGGGAGAGATGGTGGCGTTGTTAGTAGTGATGGAGAAAATGGGGGTGGGGGGGGGGGGGGGGGGGAAGACCAGGAGCTCGGTTTTGGATAGGCTAAGTTTGAGGAAGTGGAGCGACATCCAGTCTGATATGTCGTTTAGGAGGTGGGCGATGCAGGCAGAGAATGAGGGGGTGGGGTTGGGGGTGGAGAGGTAAATTTGGGTGTCGTCGGCATAGAGGTGGTAGTTGAAGCCGTGGGAGTGAAAAAGTTTGGCAAGGGAGGAGGTATAGATGGAGAAGAGGAGGGGCCCGAGGACAGAGCCTTGGGGGACCCCAAAAGAGAGGGGGAGGGAGGGGGAGGTGGCAGTGTTGTAGGTGACGCTGAAGGAGTGTTGGGAAAGGTAGGAGGAGAACCAGGAGAGAGCAGCGTCCTTGATGCCAAGGGAGTGCAGTTTGGCAAGGAGGAGAGGGTGGTCAACAGTGTCTGTCAGGGCTCCCAGGTATGACCAGAGGTGTGTGACTGAAGCAGGGAAACGCAGACCTCAGATATGTTATAAACAATATAATTTATTAACACTAACAGTACAAACATAAACGCAGTGCAATACTAAAACATAATACAGTGCAAACAAACCAAACCACCCACAGATAACAGTATATACAAGCAAGCGTCGTCAGGCAGGCCGGGTCAATATCAATTGGGCAGGTAGGTACAGGGGGAGCAAGCGGAGAATGGTCGGGGTCACAGGCCAGGTTCAGCAGGTAGCAAGCAGCATAGTACAGAGGGTCAGGCAGAGGGATGGGTCCGGGTCACAAGCCAGGGATCAGAACAGGTAGCAAGCAGCGTAGTACAGAGGGTCAGACAGAGGGATGGTCAGGGTCACAAGCCAGGATCAGAGCAGGAGAAGTCAGCAAAGGAACAGAAACAGGATGCAGGACAGATACAGGGCCCAGGACAAACACAACACCAAGGCAGAGTCTGCAAGTCTGGCCATCCCTTAAATACACCAGTATCATCAGTTCCAGGTGTTAGCTGGCTGAAAGGTTGAGTCTCTGATTGCTGGGAGCACCCGCTGGCCAGCCCTGGTACTGCAGATCAAAAGGCAGGTGAGTCCCACCATTGCTGGCCAGTCCATTCCTAACAGTACCCCCCCCTCAAGGAGCGGCCTCAGGACGCTCCAAACAGTCCTAGCTGGGCAAAATGTTCCACCGCCCGGGTCTGGCAACTGGCGGGATATCAAAGACTGGCACACCGGGCAGGAACTCCGGGCAGCGGCACACCGGGCTGGACTCCGGGCAGAGGCACATCGAGCAGAGGCACACCGGGCAGAGGCACATCGGGCAGGACTCCGGGCAGAGGCACATCGGGCAGAGGCACATCGGGCAGGACTCCGGGCAGAGGCACATCGGGCAGGACTCCGGGCAGAGGCACATCGGGCAGGACTCCGGGCAGAGGCACATCGGGCAGGATTCCGGGCAGAGGCACATCGGGCAGGACTCCGGGCAGAGGCACATCGGATTACCAGGCGAAGCAGCGGGCCACCAGGCGGGCAGCAGGGGCACCGGGCCCCCGGGCGGGGCTACAGGCACCGGGCCCCCGGGCGGGGCTACAGGCACCGGGCCCCCGGGCGGGGCTGCAGGCACCGGGCCCCCGGGCGGGGCTGCAGGCACCGGGCCCCCGGGCGGGGCGGCAGGCACCGGGCCCCCGGGCGGGGCGGCAGGCACCGGGCCCCCGGGCGGAGCAGCAGGCACCGGGCCCCCGGGCGGGGCAGAGCAGCAGGCACCGGGCCCCCGGGCGGAGCAGCAGGCACCGGGCCCCCGGGCGGAGCAGCAGGCACCGGGCCCCCGGGCGGAGCAGCAGGCACCGGGCCCCCAGGCGGGGCGACAGGCATCGGGCCCCCAGGAGGGGCGACGGGCATCGTGCCCCCAGGAGGGGCGACGGGCATCGTGCCCCCAGGCGGGGCGACGGGCATCGTGCCCCCAGGCGGGGCGACAGGCATCGTGCCCCCCAGGCGGGGCGACAGGCATCGTGCCCCCAGGCGGAGCGGCGGGCGCCGGACCCCCAGGCGGAGCGACAGGTCTCGGGCCCTCAGGCGGAGCGGCGGGCGCCGGACCTCCAGATGGAGCGACAGGTCTCGGGCCCTCAGGCGGAG